ACACACACACAGACCAAAACAGACAACACACACACACACACACAACACACACACACGGACACACAGACAACACATATACACACACACAACACACAGACAGCACACAGACAACACCCAGACAACACACAGACAACACACAGACAACACACAGACAACACACAGACAACACACAGACAACACACAGACAACACACACAATACACACACACACAGCGGAAGGGGACGGATGATTCGAGTGGGTTGAGGGTGGGTGACAGAAAAAAAGAAAAAAAGAAAAAAGTGGATTGGAGGGGTGCTGTGGATGGTCGTGTGTGTGGGTAGATGAATACCTAAATGAACGCACAACTAGGCCCTTTGTTGGCACTTCTTTGTATTCGAATGGATTGAGGACCGCTTGAATTCAAACGTTGTCCTCTGGCCCTCCCGTGGAAGGCTCGGTCTGTGCCAGGGCTTAACTGAAGGTGTGTACATAGGCGTACACTTCCTTTGAAATAAAATACCAGTGCCTAGACATGCATGCGCTGCTTTTATATCTAGACACACTGCCCCTGGTCACCCCCGGCATTTCTTGGATCCCTTTTGAGACTCGTTTGGAGGCTTGTGTACTTTGACCAGTGCCGTATCCCTGATGCGACGGGGGTGTCGTGCAGAGGGCAAGTCCACTAATCACAGATAGTGGGAAACCTAAGACACACAATACATCAGAGACTTCCTTCACTGGTTACCATACACGACTCACAACAAACACATATGCACACACCTTCGCACAATACAACAGACGCCTCGTCACTGGTTACCATACACAACTCACAACACACACCTATGCACACACCTTCGCACAATACAACAGATGCCTCTTTACTGGCTACTATACACAACTCACAACATACACACATGCACACACCTTCGCACAATACAACAGATACTTTTCACTAGCTACTATACACGAATCACAACACACACACATGCACACACCTTCGCAAGAGGATGCGAAGACGCCAAAATTCACCAGGCCCGGATAACCCATCTCACCCCAGTCTGAGCGTACGCCACTGAGCAGAAAGTTGAGTGTGAAGGTGGCGGTCATGGCGCAGAAGAACGACCGCCAGGTGAGCGCTTGATTCCAGAAGGAAGAGCCCTGTGGGTGG